GCGAGGCATGTCTCCTCATCAGCCCCCCGGCCCCTCCTCGCGCGCAGGCGACCTGAAGTGCGCGGAGGGCGTGCCAGCAGACTACGCCGTCGCCACCGCCAGCGGCCCTAGCTGCGGAATGCACTCCCCCGTGTTCCAACTCGCCCTCAAGACCACGGCACTCGTAGTGCAGCCGTCTTTAGCTGCATTCGTAGCCCTCGTGTTCACGCGTTGCATCTACCGCCACTGCAACCCGCAGCTCACTGCATTAGTTCCCTTACATTCATGCCACTAGGTTGGCGTCTTCAACGAGCGAGACGGCCGCGCGAGCCTCGAGGAGTACGAGAGGGCTTTCGCCGCGGTTATCGTCGGCAACCGCGGCTCACTGGCGCCGCTCACAGAATTGGTCGAGGCGGTGTGTGCGCGGTCGCCGCCTCCGAGGTGACTGTGGGGGTCTGGCCCATATCAGAACTCTGAAACATGCCACCACCTCCACCACAGTTGTCGACTTTTCGTTAAGCTATATAGATTTGGCCTGGGCGCCCCACGCGCGCGCGTGAACTGCTGAACATCTCCTCCCCACGTAAACATGGGAAATCCTCGGACGACCTGGGCTGGCCGACTACACGGTGAGCCATAAAGACATACGGACCTTGCCCAGAGTAGAGGCTAGTGCCATTTCACTCTGACACGCTAATCTTGAAAACGTCTCCAACGGAGCTCCGTGTTGCTTCCAGCGCCCTCCCCCGCGCTCCCTGCGGCCATGGCCGATGCTCCTAGTATGAGAGGTCATCTGGCTACCGCGAGAGCGACCCAACTCGTCGACATCGTCCGATGATTGTGCCTCAAAGTCAGCCTCCGGAGGCTATCGTGGGGTCGAGCCGGCAGTAGCCGTGACATGTGGTTCCACCACCCCTCGTAGGCTTTGCCTCTGATCGCCACCGTTCCCAGGCTGCCTAATGGGATGGAAAGGAAGGCTCGGCGAGCGTATAGAAGCGTGCTCGACCTCGTCGTGGCAACCTGCACGGCAGCGCTGGCAGGCGATATGAGCGTCGTGCCACCTGACCCGAGACGGGTCGCAGGCGTCGTACCGAGCGCGTCGAGACCGTGTCCTGATGTGATCTGCACGGGTGAGTCACGTCGGCGTCAAAGGAGCGACGTGCGACCTGTCAGAGCTTGATCTCCGATCTCAGCGGCGTCGAGTCATCTCCGGCGCGCGACAAAGGTACATCCACAGGACGCGCAGAGGCTGCTGCGACCC